GGCGTATAAATCTACCTCGGAGTACCGATTCGGACGTCGATCATGCACGCGGGATAATCAAATCACAGGTGCAAACCGGCCCACGCAGTGAGTAAGTGGATCGGAACACATAATTTGCTTACTTTACGATTATCTGGCAAAAAGATCTCGGTCCCGTGCACATGGACCAACGGAACCAGCTCCAAATTTCGTTGCTTTTCTGTTAACGCCAACAGACAGCCGATCACGCCAACCAAGAGACCGCCAGTCACGTCGAAAATGAGGGTCACTACGAATGTGATGAAGAAGAGCAACTGCATGAACCAGAAACGGGGGATGGGGTGAAGGGGGAGGGTTGTGTGGGTTGGAGCCATTTGGAGTACAAGTAAAAGTCAGTTAGATTACCCACGATATCAGTGGTGTTTACCACACGAAATACAACATTATTCAAATGCATTCGAAACTCCTCCGTCTGATTTTAAAACTAGAGTAGTCCAATAATTCAATGAACCATTGAATGGAACTTGTACCCATTCTTCCGGCTTCAGCATGAACAAGCATCCAGGCTGTGAGCTTGCATCAAGTTCAATTTCACCAAATTATCGCCCCGTAGAGAAATACAATGAAAAATAATAAATCTATCCTTACCGTTAGCAACACGATCTGGATTCACGTTCCTCACCCCCACCCCTCACCCACGATTCTCGGTATTCTACCGGTCTCCAATCTCCAACACAGCTAAATGACAAATCATCCAAGGAACCTAACCAAACACTGATGTGTTGATGCCTATTTGCGTTTTCCTGTTATCGATAAACTCCCCCCCCCNNCTTTGTCCGAAATATGTTCTCATTATTCTGCCTACTTGATTCGGTTCGTTCGAACCCGGTAGTGGATGGGGCAAACGTCAATCAGGGTTGAACAACTCCTTGTGCTCACTATAACCGTTGACTGTTTATAGAGGATAAACTATTTCAACTGCACAGTGGATTTTTCGAGCGAAATCAATTGTATTCGGTGCACATTCCAGTGTGTTTGTTATTCGCGGAAAAGGGCCGAAGTAGTGTGTACACAAGTATACATACCAAACCTGAGGTAGCGTTAAAACAAACCACTCTCACCGCTTCGAACAGTGCCTGTCTTTATCTCAGGCACGGTATTGGTCCTTCTCGCTAACAAGTATCGTCAAAAAAAACATACCATTCCCACTAGGAACCAAAACCTGTCCATTCGGTTCTTTTTCTCAAGTTTATGTTTCAACTGGCAGCTGGGAACGATAAAAAAGAAATACATACTGCTTAAGAGTCTCTCAACAGAGGCGAGATAACTCCTTTTTGTTGCTATGGTAATATTGAATTCCAAAAGTACGGAAAACCGCAACATAAATAAATTATCTTTCGTTCAATTTTATGAAAATAGCTTGCTGTCATCTAAAATTGCGGACTAAAACGGGTTGGTTATTTTTTCTCCTTTTGGTGAAAACAGTACAACTGTCAATCTTTTGGTAACAAGAGAAAATATCGCTCCCAGTTATCCCAATCGTAACGAAAACTAATGTGTTGGAGAGAGATTGATCCATAGATAAACCAATACCAAATCGATCGTGTCCGAAAAGACAGCTTTCTTATAATCAGTAGCGTAGTCCTATGGCATAGCACACAGTCCGTAGATGGAAGAACTGTGTTTTAGAAGATCCGGGAAACCTGTCATTCCGAAGCATTACGTAAGGGATCCCCCTCATCATTGCTAACGCCTATGCAATTTTGGTTGTCAAAATCGGATAGTAGAAGCAACATCACCAAGTGCAACCAGTGCTGCTATCTGTTATGTTCTGGTTAGGCGTACGATCGATACGAGCGCCTCTTACCTAGCCCCCAAAGATAATACGGGACAGGGTACATGACCGGAGAACAACGGTCGGAATGTCTACTGTTCATGACGCGATAAGCCAATATAAGTGGGTAAATTGGGCGAATAAGAACGACGTGGTGACGCAACAATCAGATCGCGTCCTTCACACTTCGATTGTTCGGTCGGACGGCAGCTGTCCGATCCGTCCTAGTCATCCAATCTGGATTTGACTCGTCTTGGGCGTCGCGAGCGTGTTCGTGGTATGACGCGGATTCGTGCGTGGCTTGACGGGTTCTGTGAACTTAGTCCTAACATGGCCAAGTTTTTTGCGCAGAAGAAGATGAGCTCAGATTCACCGGATAAGTAGCGACATTGTCCGAGGGGGTGGGATGGGAGGGATGCGGTGTGTTTCGGCTTGACAACCCTATATCCCTCTATAAACAACACATGCGTCTAACAAGTGCATTGTGAACCTCACCGAATAAGAGAATTGCTCCTTTCCCGCTCTATGTAACCGAAAAAGCCTCCTGCGAGTTGGGACAGGCAGGAGGCGAATGATTCACCGGTTTCTAGGTTGCCACTAAATGTGTCAACAACAGAAAGTGTGGCACAGTGGTTTAGTCACTGTCACCGCCATGTTTTGGACCCTATAGTTCTCTGTTCGAATCCCACAACCGCCAGCAGACTTTGGTGGTAGGCAGCTTTACTGTCATCCGGTTCAATACCACCACTAACCTAGCGGAACCTTATGTGGCTCACCCCTCCAAGTCCCGAGGCTTAGGTTACCGATTTCCATCACTGAACAGCAGATCCTCTTGAATATGGGGATTTCCCCGTCTTCTACTAATCAGACTAATTCGTGTAAAAAAAACAAATGATCGAACCGGGTTGGCAGACAGCTCGTTATCTCATTTCCGAAACTTCCAATGGACGATTGAGCTCTATGACTCATCGATCGCGTAAAGAAGAAAAACAAAGCCGTGTAATACGGTTTGAGTTATTTTGTTATTTCATACGTATATAACAGAAATTGTACTATTTCATTATCAAACTTTCCAATCAGGGTAAAATGAAGAACCATTCTCGCTTCAATCCTGGACCTTAAAAAGCACGGAGACTTACAACATTAGGGCCTAATTTATTCATGACATGCTTCACGGCTACACAAAAACAAAAGCAACGTTTTAACCTTGCTGTATATTACGTTAGTTTACAAGTGGGAGTTCCCATAACCGGAAACCGCTTCTTTGGACTACACTGTCTTTTTTTAATTTTATTGCTAAGAAACACGGGAACAAACAAACGAACCACATTAATAAAGGACCCTGATCATTCATTAGCTCACCGATCCCTCGGACCACGCCATATGAGCCCCAATCTCATTTTGATCGGGGCCTATCTCGCCGCTGTAACGGATCCCAAAAAACCACTGTGGCTGGGCCACGAGCGATCAAAGTGACGATGTACATAGGATCGTTGTACACTATACCGGCAACAACTGGGACGGGCTTTTGTGTCATTCAGTATAATAGTTGATATTACAATCTAGCATTTATGAAAGACCAATTTAGTTTGTCACACACACAATTGTTTGTCTCGTTTTCTTTGGGGCTAGTTAGAGCAACAAAACTATCAGCGTCAGGAGACGGTTGAAATCAAGTCAACTCAACCGAATAACGCGTAAATTCCAATCAATACGACTCCACTCCCCTGTGTCTCTCTCTCGCACCCACGACGCGGTCATCGAGAACCATGTGATTCTTCACATGAATAGCTAATAAAACGACCGCCATCTGTTACTCCGATCGGGCTCAGATAAAAACAAATCGCAGGCCAGTGGGAGGAGAAACAAAGCGGAATCGTGAAAAGGTTCGTACTTAGAAATTAGGACTCACAAAATCACGTTTATATGCTTTCCACATTTTGGGCAACGCAAGGGCACGTTTGAGAATGCCCTTCAAGGCCACTGCAATGATGGCAGATAAAACGCACTGTCAGAAAGAAAAAAATCGATAAGAAAACAGTTATAAAATGAGATTTGTATCGAATTGGTAATCGAAATAATGATATAAATCACAAACAAATAAAACCAACAGAAAAATATTTGAACACAGAACAATGCAAGAAGCATGAGATTTGACTAATAACGTTTGTCAAACCAGCTCACAATTGATGAGCAGTTCTGAGACTACTTTCGAACACTGACAGAGGGAACCACCCAGTTAATCTTATAAGAATATTAT